TAACATACTAAGAGCTTAAATGCTGTTAACGAATAAATTTCAATTATATAACTGCAAGTAAACCTTCCGACAGTCGTTTTAGGAATTTGCTTTAGTTTTTACGCTCCCCCCATCAAATTATATTTTCATTTAACGTGTTTTTCCACTTTTACTAAAACAAAAAACAAACAAATCCTTTCAAAAACCCATTTACTTCAACGGTAATGTACCACTGCGTCAAGCCTATAATAGTTTTTTTGCTGACAAACATTTGTTGCAGCATTGGAATGGATTAGGCTTATTTATATGCTATTACATACCAATGCAAACATGTATTTAGCAAAATTTATAAGTGTTTATAGTCCGACAGGCCTATAAAATTAAGTTCATCGAAAGAAAAAAGCCCTGGTTGCTATTATAGTTTGTTGTGTCTTGTTACATAGCTTCGTTTACGTTATTGACTCTACATTCGAATAATAATTGATTGGTTAAGCATTTAACAACTCATTAGCCAGTTAGAAAGAGCAGATATATTCATTTCAACAGTACGAACGTAACATGTGCAATAAAACTGAAAAGAATTCACTGTAAATAAAAAATTATAGCAAACACCCGTTACAACCTCGGCTGAAAACATAACATCTTACACAAAATTCTGAGCAGAAAGATAAAATCGCTATTAGACGACCTGTAATTTTCTTAAGCAGCATCAAGGTGTGTTACTTCCAAAACTATATAAGAAAGTGAACATTATTTCAAAGTAAGAATTCCTTCAATAGGTTTCTCTTTCTGTTCAAATTGTTGCTGTATAAAAGCCACACTTTACGTCAGTCGTCCATATAAATCGCAATACATTCATTATTTAAGACATATAAATATAATATTTTATGGGATAATATAAAATGAACGCATTCCTATAAAATGTATATATTATTGGCTGATTTGATTCATCTGTCCTTTTACCCTAATCTTCTCTGTTGTTGGCATCCGCACGGGCTTAAAGCTGAATTAAGAGAAGAAAACCTTATTCGTGCAGTCCGTATTAAATAAACAAATATAGAAAAGGAAATTTACTTATACAATGTTAACTTCATACTCAACACAAAGGCGAAAACATATTTAAAGTTATCGTCAGATATGTCTACCTGGGAATACCTTCCCATTAAATTAGTAAATTTTGCGTATAACAATTCTTACATGTTTAAGATAAAATAAAATAAAAACTACTGTATTAAATATAAATATATTAAAAATAAATCGAAATGGCCATAAAGGAGGGGAATAGTTTTTTTTTATTATTTAATTATTAACTTTTTATAATACAACACATATAGTGAAATATTTTTCAACAAACAAAAAGTAGAGTGTGTGGAGAAAGAGGTTACAAATTCGCTTTGTGAAATAGATTGCCAAGAAGATAATGTCAAGAAAGCATACCACTTAAATCTATTGAAAGCGCTCCTTATTCTATACTATACGGTTTGTGCAGTCCACAATCCCCAGTTAACAAAACATAGAAGGATCTATGTAGAATTCTAAACACTTAATGTACTTTACCTAAAACCATTTATCTAGAAACGATAAACTTTCATAATGCGACAAAAAAGTTAGCATTGTGTTGTAAACTTGAAGAGCACTTAAAGGCGTTTATGAAAAACAGATTCATAGTAGGCCGATATATCTTAATAAATATCGGAAGGACAAGGAGAAAACCAATCAGAAGAAACCAAACAAGTAAGCCGTAATGAAACAAATTGCAAGTTAATGCTATATCTATGATAAGATAGGCTTCTAGAGCGAGTAGATAACTCAGATAGGGGTACATCTTGGTACCACTTTGGAAAGAAAATGGAGACATTCGCGTATGTGGGGACTATAAAGTCACCGTCAATAAACATTTGGTGGACTTCAATTATTCGCTGCCACGTATTGCTGAGATATTACCATCCTTAGGAGACGGTACAATCTTTACCAAACTTGATCTACGTAATGCATACAATCAACTTAATTTAGATGATAAACCTCAATTGCTTCGCGCTTAGAGAATACAGCGCCTAACAGTAAAACGCCTACCGTTTGGTGTTAAAAACGCGGCAATCATATTTCAAGAAACAATGAAAAATTTGCTACGTAATATTTCCAATGTTCTTGTTAATCGGGATGATATAATAATTGGCGGAAAGGAAATCAATAAAAGTGGTTTTACAAAAGTGACAGATTAGTCGTCTTAAATTTAATGAAAAAAAATGCTGATTATTTCAATCTGAAATGTCATACCTAGGGTTTACTATTGACCATAATGAATTGAAAAACCTTATCGATCATGTTGCAACCACGACAAACGCATGTATTCCAAAAGGTATATCAGAATTAAGAGCTTTCGCCCCATTTTCGAGATTCCATAAAATAATCGTTCACTATCAAAACTAAGTCGACTCGAACTCTTCCTCTGTTTGCCATTGAAATGGACTTTCTCTTATTTGTAAACCCTTACATAACCAACGACGTTACTGCCAGCAGCATAGCGCAATATACTGCTCGTGACCATCGGTAGCATTCATGGAGCAATTTCTTTCCTGAATTCGATCGCTAGCCGTCTCTTTTTGCCGGTAACATGTGTCATAAGAGAGTTTCAAACGTGGGCATTTCCCCAAACCTCGAACGAAGTTCACTGCTCTCTTGTTCGAAGTGGACACAGTGAAGTATAAAAACACACGTTGAGCGGCCTTTTGAAACAATAAACGTCGTTATATACCCGCAAGATGTAATCTTCTGGCGAGCGTTTTGATCTGTTGCCAACTTTTCAGTAGGCCAAGCCCCACTTCCGTTCCATCTACGAGCATAAGCAGCTAAGTTTGCTTCAAATGATTGCTTTTTTAAACTCTTGTCGCTCGCTCTTGTACTCTAGTTGGAGGATCAAGCACTCAACGTTATTTAAAGCCTAAAGCCCTCCGTGGTCGTTACAACTTCGTTTTATTAATGCTATCAACCGAATATACTTTACCATGCGTACAAATACTAATTACTCTCTTGCCATTATTCCTGACTTTTTCGTTTTAACCTCAGCGATAAATCAGTACGACTTCAAAATCGTTTTGATTCCCACTGTAAAACTTCTCCACTTAGGAGGCCGTTTTATATTGAAAATATCTTTATTTGTTTTCTACGTGTATTGCAGTGCCGAATAACAGCCTTGCCCAGCTTGGTTTTTATCCAGCATTCATTTATCTTATAGGGCTCGCTCAGGACTGCTACATTTGCTGTTAACTTTCTTTTGGTTTGCTCTTGTAGCTCTTGTGAATCTCTACAATAATTTAAGTTAAATTGGCGCATCACAATTTATTGTGCACATTGAGGCAAGTTTTTCCTCCAAGCAGATGCTTACATGGATTATTTCAGTTCTCGCATATGAAGCAGTTCGATCCGTTTATATCGTTTTTAGCAAAACGCCCTTCTTCGTTTCCGTTAAAACATCACTTTTTTCTGTCTATGCATTTCGCACATTGCTTGGCAATGTGGCCATGGTCTACGCATTTAAAACGTTTCAATTCCATGTCAATCTTTCTAATTCGGCAGACAATTCAAGTAATTTTAATCTTGCATTTGTCTATTAAGAATTTATACGGCGGCAGAGATCGCAGTTTGCGTATCAGCGCACGCCCTTCTAAGCCACTTAATGTTAAAAAAGTGATCGGCTCTTTGCAATTAAAGGGCTTCTATAATATCCCCCGGCGGTTAATATCTAGTGTGGCTTCATTCGATAGTACTTCAATCTTTGTTTCTTGGCCTAATACGCGTTCCTTCTTTTCCTTATATCTACCGTGGTTGCATCGTGGTTTTTGCGCAACTCTAAGAGTATTTCATCGTTTCCTATCTTCTGGATCTTTTCACATTATTACCGAGTTGTTTCGAGTTGTAATCGCATTTGACTTTTTTCAGTTGCTTTCTTTTTATGTAGCAGTAACAAAATGCCAGGCCACCTCCGTGTCTGGTGCTTTCAAGGTTACCCGTATTTCCAATGAATCGGTATTTTTTGCTTTGTTTTTGTTGTTTACGTAGGCACTGTCATCATTTGTGTTGTTGTTGGTTCGTGATTCTAGGTGTAGCGATATCTCCGTTGCTACGCTCATTGTTGCCGTTGTTACTGATTTTTCTTTATTTTAAGCTTTACGTTTTGTTATTTGTTTGCTGGTGTGTACTAGTGTGCATATATGTACCAATAGTTTTGCTGTCTATGTGTTTGTGGATATAAATCTGGTTAACGACTATGGATTTTATTGCAATTTCGAATTAATCTATAATACGTTATTTGCGATTTACACATCGGCGATTTCAAAGGGAATGTCCCTATATTACCCTAAATAGGCGATAGCTCTTACACTTATTCAAGCAAACTGTAGCTGTGCCCAGCTTCTCCTGCCTTTCGCTTTTCTTCTTTATTTTCAAAAGCGACACTCACTAACCCCAGCAGATTGGAAAGCACACATGTGAAAAAATAAAGAACTGATAAATATTCCGTCTTTTGTGCATTTCGATGCCTTTTGTGCTCCACGAACAGTTGATCCAACAACTGCTAAGCTCTTCGAAGTTCTTCGAGAGTTTGAACCGAGCGTTCGTGCAATAAGCCTTACAATTTATTGTCTTCGAACTTTTGTAGTCCTCCAGACCGTTTTTTGTCATTGACATCAGAATCGCCACTTTTAAACCATTGAAATCATTTGGATAATATTTAGATCTCCATAGGCTTCTAAAAGTGCTTGATGGGCTTCATCATCACATTTCTTCAAATCAAACAACGATAGTAACGAGTGTCGAAAATGCAATTTTGATCTTTGCAAGATCAGCGTCTGTATACCCCGAATAACTCAATAATACTAAAAGCAACTCTGTCATTTTATATAGAGAAAGGTCACCGAATTTAACCGTTGTGTATGTTGATAATTGGCATTACTTTATCATCTCCAACAATAGATGTTGCTGGTCAAATTACATGCAAGCATCTATTACAAATTTACTGGGCAGTGACATAGCTTATAGTGTAATGAGTTAAGAAAAATTTCAAAGTTCATCGAATGGTATCTCTTTTACAGGATGGTGTGTTAACTGTTAACTTAGGTCCTAAACACGGCGTCTATGTTATCAATCGTCAGACGCCTAACAGACAAATTTGGTTAAGTTTACCCTTCAGCGGACCAAAGCGCTACGAGTTTGTAGGTCCTAAAACCGGCGAAAAGGGTGAATGGCTTTATCGTCACGATGATGAGACTTTGCACGACTCATTGCAACAGGAGCTATAGCCTATATTCAAAGATCAAAAGTTAGATCTTTCTGAATTACCTTACAGCAGTTGAACATAATACGAAAAATGAAAATAAGTTACTAAAAACTAAGTTTGCGAAGTTGGAAAACGTTTTATTAACTCTTGCAATAATTGATTTTGTATTTCAATGGCACGCTTTTGAATTTTAAAATTTTCTTGTAATATTTTCATATGTTCCAGGTGGCACCTTTCTTGTTGAGCATTGTATTGATCCAAAGTAAGATTCGAGATTAACGTTTCAGCTTTGTCAGCTTTCTCATTTTATTTTCCTTGGGGTATCCGCCTGAGTGGCCGAGTAGGCAAGAGTCTCAACTAGCAACTCAATGGTCGCGAGATCAAATCTCAAGTGCGTTCGAGTTTTTAATAAAGCCGAAAGCCTTAGATGCTAGTGCTTTAAGACTTTAGTCTTAGAATTTATTCTCTGGCTAAATTAATAATAATAATAACAATAGCAATATTACAAATGATTTGCATGAATTTATGTTTATAATGGCTCAATTACGATTCAACTGTCTTAACTTAACTGTCTTTGCCTTCCGCAAATATCCTACTTATATAATTCATGGCGAGACGCTTGTGTTATTCGCTTATTCTGCTAAATTTTCTGCTACTCCTTGTTAATCTTGTCGATAATTGTCAGCTGTATGAAGCAGGTAAAGCCTTACAAATGTGTATTTGGTTTTGCATTTCCCGGCACACAAACAGCAATTCTATCGATTCCGACAAAAAATGCCAGGATATTACTGGAAGTTTGCAAAATTAAAATTGGCTGGGTTTATTAAAATTTCGTGCCCACTCACTTGCTTGTTGAGGCTGCTTTATGAACGTGCGGGACATTATAATGGGATATCGGTAATGAAATCAGCTAAACCTCAATCATTGCGGGACATTATGGGAGTTGTTTACCAAAAGCGCTAGAGATTGATATTACAATCGTAAACAAACCATATTACGTAAAAGAGGACGCAAACTAGATACAGAAAACGTCGAGCAAGGCTAGAATTTGGCAAGATAGTCAATAATCCATAAGCATGCGATTTATCTCGATAGGCGATGAAGTTCTCTGCGCAAAATTCGTTGGATATATTGGAACAACGATTCACAGCCTCTCCATGTATGGGGGAAATAACATTCCACTATTATTGGCGCCAGACGCAGCACACTCTTAGTAGTTATGGTCGTAGTTCGACTATAGATGAGACGTTGAAAATTTTGCTTCGACAAAACGAAATGAAACGTGAAATTTCAGGTAATTTATGTACATTCAGTGACCACCTAACCATAAGTTATGAATTACAATCCAACAAAAAGTGCAAGAGGCTTATACACCTTTAAAAGAGGCTCAGTTGTGGGTCCAGTACGCTTCATAAAGGACTACTACAGTAGAAAACTTACTGCAATAGAAACTTATATTGATTATTAGCCGAAGTATAAACAGAAAAAGGTGACTCAAAGAAAGAAAAAATGCACTCTTGAAACTGCCGGGAAAGAAAAACGGTGATCGTTAAGGACTGGTTTATAACGTAGCAATGAAATCAGCATACCTCTTCAAACTTGGAAAAAAATATAGTTGACACGCTGTTCTCGTAAGAAGATGAGTTCCAAGATGAGGGAGTAATGGGTACCACAAAACAGATTCGCGATAACAACGCGCTGGCCCCAGCAACCAGGGCGAACTTTCCATTATATGTGGAACCATAAAAAACAAACTCTGCTGTCAAACCCGAGTGGGCCAGGTGGTCATCCATCACATACCTATTTGCCTGTGCGATGTAGTGTGAACAGCCTAGGAAAGGATAACTTACGAATGACTCTAAAGGTGGGAATTAAAAATACTGTCTTTCAGCGACAATGGATGTGAAAAACCACTCTAAATGCGGCTGTAATGAACTGCCTTGCTACGATTTGTTTTACTAATAACTCTCCTCCCCTGCAACTGCAACTATCACTGTTGAAGCATTACGTGGGTCCTTTTCTAGAACAAGTAAACTGAGAGAAACTGCGAAACTTTGTCTCCAAATCAAAAAATGAACCGTGACGTTCCGTGAGCACGCCTGCGGAGATGGTTTTCTTATCTTTTCCTTCGTTCGTATTCTAGTACGCAAATAATAAGGTCAACCGCACTATCCTGAATTTTTTTGAGCCTGCCAGCAACTATTGTGATCATATAGGCTACGAAATTTTGGAATGAAAGAAGCAAAATACACTATCTAAACTGTATCGAAAGTCTCATAGTTTTTGTTTTTAAACTGATAATTGTTTTGGGACAGACTGGCTAGAGAGCAGTGAGTCGTATTTCAGCTATAAATACCCCGTTCCATATAACTGCAGCAGTTTAACAGCGCCGAGTATGATATTATTTGATTCACAATGTGGCCATCTACTTCATCGATAGGAAACTTATGTGCGCATTGGACAGATGATATAAATCTCATTAGTGGAAGGGTACCGAGACTGTGAAAAGTCATGTACGATAATATCACGCGTCTTCTAGGCTTACAGAAAATTAATATTATGGTATATGCAGATAATATCTGCGCAGTCCTGGTAAAATTAAGGTGGAACCTCACATTGCTATGGTAGTAATTGGTAGCAGGTCTTCTCTGCTTCTCAGTCATTGTGAAAGTTCTTTAAAGATTACTTTTGGAACTCAACTAAGAATGTAGATTACATATTTCAAATTTGTCTTTCAAATTTTCCAACTCCGATGAAGAATTGTTGCAATAGACAGAACCAAAATGAGGAAATTGAGTTACCATAGTGAGGATATCAATATTCAGTATCACATTCTGAAAACAGGTTTCTGCTAGGAAAGACTTGCAAAACTAATTTTTTATAAAATAAGTAAAGCACGGAACAAAAGAACTAGAGAACACAAGAGAAAAAAACATTAAGAATCCCAATTCACTGCAAAACTTTTCAATTGTTTTGGTCTGGCTACATGGCATTCTTCCTGTGTGTGTGTGTATCCAATGCATGACAACAACATGTCGTAGCATATATCGCGTCTAAATCTTTACCGTAAGGAAACTTACTTTTTCATTATGAATTCATACTATTTTAATGCAGTACACCATAGTCAATTTTTATGAAAGAAACATATTTTTTATCGACTTGATAGGTGTTTTCCATCTTCTTCTATTTATGGAAAATGTGTTACTATCTGAAAGAAATTTTCGTGTTGAAATTGCTGCTTTCTAACTTTTCTAATACGTTAACTGACTTATTTAGAAAGTGTTTATGTTCATTTAAACAACCTTTCAAACAAAAATGCGTGTAGATTCATCAAAATGGTTGTTGAATGCACATGAGGCCCAAAGCGGTTTATAAACTTCCAGTGGTTCCGCCAACACACTAAAAATTAGGGATGAAATTTTTAGTGTTGATTATGAAATTCACTACTGAATAACACATTATGTTGCCGTTTTCTTCGTCATTTCGTAACGCGTAAACTCTAAAACCTACGATTGTGTCTTTCGCAATTTCTAGTACAAAATCTGCAAAAGGACATTCGAACTGGAATGGACAATCGTAGACGGCGTGTACGCTTTGAATAAAAAACTTAAGCTCATCTTAAAAATATTTTTTCTGGGCTAACAACACTGAAAATTTACACTTTGTATACATGCTTGTTGTAAATAAAAACAGAACTTTAATAGAAACAAGCTCCAGTAGAAAAACTGCAGAAATTGCAGAGACAAAGCCATTGGCCCAGTTTTTATCTTGTGAATACCAAGTAATTAGAGAGTGCGCTTCGCATCGTTGTGTGAATCTATCGATTATTGTTAATGTACAACGGTTATCATTGGATTGCGAAAGCCGACCAACAATGTTTTGAAATCTGCCTTTAATTGCTCCAATTTTGCGTACCAGTATTTTCCTGTATTATGGGATTTTCGATTTTCGTTTGGAATGAACAAGCTGAGTTAACTTTTTTTCTTATGCCTGGCCAAAAATACCTATCAGTTATTAATTTCTTCCCACTCTGGATTCCGGACGTGAAATATCACGCAACTTACCGAATATCGCTCTTCTTAGACTCTCCAGGACAATATATTTTTGTGCTTTCCCGGATACCTTATAGCATATTTCGGACTTTATCGACCGTATTTTTATTTGTTTCAGATTGAATTCTCTTCTTATTAGCTGCGTCAGATCTGTGTCATTTTGTTACTCTTTGTGCAATGTTTTAAAACACAAATTGATAAAAAATTGTCTGGAAACTCTACTTCGGTCAACTGCTTTAAGTTTTTAGGATAGTGAATTTTTCTAGTTATTTATTTCCATTCCTTATTCCTGTTTTTTTCTGTTTTGTGGTTGAACTCTGATAGTTGCCCATAAACGTGTCACAAAGCCATACTTCCTCTTTTTAGCTTGCTTGGTTGTGTTGTGGTGGTCCTAGTTCACAATATTCGAATGCATTGCTATTTGCAAGAAGGAGGGAGAAAGACAAAATGTGTCAAGATTCACAAGTGTGATTGTCCCAAGATTTCACAAGAGAGGTATGCGATGTTAATTGAGAATTCGATCCTCTCCTTTAGCTGCTCAGCCTGTTTGAACTTTTCGCGCGGGACATTCCTAACGCAGCATCTTGAGCAGTCTGTCGACCAAATCACAGGAAAATTTAACATAAGAATTCAAAACCATAAACGAAAGGATTAAGTATGCAAAAATTAAACTCGAGGAGAAGATAATTTCACGCATTAACGACTTAGAAGCGACTTACAAACAGTGATGCCGCTGTGCCTTCGTACCGTTTTTACTCGTTCCTAAACTGGTACAATCAGGTCTAATTTTTTCCAATATCTATTTTGTTCCTCTTATTATAACTCATCCTTTTTTGTTAAATTTATTGTGGTCAGTTTCCTTATGTACTAGATTATAGCATTATTATTTTCGTGAACACATACGGAATTATATCTTGATAAATTTAAGTAAGTTAATCTGATTTAGTGGCTTTCTTGTAATTATCTTTTCGTTACACAGCTTATATTGTTGCACTGAATATTTGTAATAACAATGTT